AAACGAACACGAACAGTAACTTCATAAATAATTTCGAGTACAAACTTATTTCAAACAAAATAAATTTCAAATGAATCGGACACGAGCATAAATTATGCCTATTCGTGTTCGATTCATTTACGCCCCTATTTACACTTCACTCTTTTCAACTCAAATCAAATATTCCCTGCATGTAAAAGAACAGTGGCGTCAGGTGGGGCCCGCATTCTAGGAATGGCCACTCCGTATCATATGCATTAAGTGGGACCAGACGTTTTGACCAAATCTATCTGGCCGTTAGCGCCTTTTTACTCCTCCTTTCACTCTCCCTTGAATGGTAGTTGAAGCACGCGCCTTCAATCACTGGTGAGCAGGTGGTCGGCGGCAATTTGAAAATAATTGTTAATATTCCATATCAACTTCAACAAGCAATTAATGATATCATGAGATGGTCGTAATCGAGCCAAAATATATCATCCTTGGGACCTCACTTCCTGTAATTATAAACTATTCTTATTTAATTTGAGATTGTGTCCTGCTTTTATGTATTATTTTAAGTGAATGAGTATTAAATAGGGCTGTCAAAACGATACGTTCGCAAACAGCTCGTGGTCGGCTCATTAAGAAACTCGTGTTCAGCTCGTTCGCTAAATTAACGAGCCGAACACGAACAAATATTTGGTCGTTCGTGTTCGGCTTGTTTTGACTCGAAATTTTAAATCTTGCCCCAATCCTTAACATCTTATGACTATGTGATTAGAGTTGTCAAAATGACTCTTTGTTCGTGAACGTCTCGTGTTCGACTTGCTAAGCAAACAAGTCGAACACGAACACACTTTTTGAGCTCGAAATATAAACGAGTTCGGTTACACCCCTAGAATCAAACAAATTAAAATTTTAATAGATAATTTAATAAATCCATTCGTAACTATTATTTTATTGATTATAAACTTTAAACCCCGCGATATCTTAAATCTCATTTTTTTCTTTATGTTGTCCTAATTCCCTCACTTAGGGGTTGTTTAATTGAAAGATCTGTGATATCTAAGCGTGATTTAATCTAAATCCTATCAAATAACTAAAAATGACAACTTCAAAACTTACATGAACTTAAATCCCTCATTTAGAAGTTGTTTGGTACCAGGAGTTAAGCAGCATTAAGTAGGATTTAACATAAACCCTACCAATCAACAAAATGACAAAATAAACCCCCAAGGAATCTTCAAATCCTATTTGTCCTCTATTTTGCCTTAAATATCAGGATATTGTTTAAAGATTAAAGCACGTGTGAGGGTTAATCGGGTAGGACATTGGAGCAAAGTGAAAATGAGAGATATACTAGAGAATAGAGTTTCAGAAATCTTTGCATGCCACGATATTGTCATTGCATTCGTTGATGGCACGTTCTAATGACTCAGGGCTTCGTATGTTTCGGGCGAAATCGGGAGAAGTGAAACTTTGAGAGGCCATGGGGGAAAGTGAGATTTGCGGGGCTTTATAGTTAATTTTACGGAGTATTTCATACATACCAAATAAGTCTTATATATTTTCACATCTAATACTTAAACTTTAATGAAATAATTAGATAATTAATAATTATATGTTAATAAAATGAATATATAATTAACAATTAATCTAACAGTATTATTCATATAATAATATTTTACTATTAAGTATATAATTAAATAAATTATAGTTAATTGAATCTTATATAAATAATATATTGTATATGATACGAGCTATCATCAAACTCAATATCAAGTATTTAATAAGGTACTTGCTGAACAACAAACGAATTTGATCGTGAACATAAATGAACAAGTCTGATTATCTTCATTTTTGTTCTTTTAACCTTCGAGCTCTTAAAATGCGTTCAAACTTGTTTATTTACTAATTTGAACGAACATGATCTAATCTTAATTAAGTCGAGTTTGAGTTATTCATCAAGTGTATTGGTTCATTTACAGCTCTAATCATGAAGCACTCTTGTTTCATTCCAGTGTAAAGTAATGCTTTTCAAAGAGTTGAAAACAGAAGATTATTTCTCCAAGATCATTATACATTTGAGCGATGTATTTGAATTTACAAGGTTGAACTCGAAAAAACTGAGGGGTATTTACATACATAGCACCCAATTCATATGTGTTTATATTTTTAACACTTAAATTTTACCTTTTATATTTATATCATTCAAATCTTTTATATTATATTCAAAATATTAATATTTCAATTTTATATAGTGAAATACACTTATTCATTCATGTTTTAGAAGAATCATATCGGTAGAGTGATAATTCAATGTCTCAGTATCATATGAAGATTTGACAAAAATACGAATAATACTGAAATAATAGAAGAAATTAGAACTTTTAACGTGAAAAAACCGAAAAGAAAATCACGGGATGAGCTCAATTAAAGTAGTCTAGTATAAGTATGCAATTACAACAATTGAGAAAGAAATGTTACAACACTACACCATGTACAACACTTTTTTTGTGCACAATGTATGGAAAACTTTCGGAGTTTGGAAAAAAATGCCGTATTTTGAGTATGGTGATTATAAGCAGGTGTCGCCAAAAGTTATCGTCCAATTTATAATGCAGCGTTATACATTACACCGTATTTAGGATACTTCATTACATCGTATTCAAGATATTTCATTACACATTATTTATGACACTTCATTACATATTATTTGAGGATATGTTGTTACACAACATAGGTCGTCGACAGAGGCTAATAAAGGGAAGCTGGTGGTGGTCGAAGGCAGTTGACAGGTGGTATTCGATTGTGATCGGTAGTTTTGAAGGCCGAAAAAAGTTGTCGGATTTTCAATCTATAATAACACTAGAATTTGATTTCTTCTCCTCTCCCCTCAAGTAAAAGATAAAGGGTCTATTGATTGCCTCTGGGTTTGGTCATTTGATAAATAACTTCTGTAATCAGTTGATCGAACGACACATATTGATCCTCTTTGATCATATAGATCTTTTTAATGATTTGAGGGCCTCAATAACCTTAGAATTAAGCGAGTGTAGGCTCAATGGATTCTTCTCATAAAGGCATTTGATTTAACTATAAGTATGTTAATATTGGAGTACATCTGAACATTGAATTGGCAATCTGACGCCTCCAAAAATATTTTAATTGTATGATGTGAATGTGTTTGCGCTCGAATTGGACCAATGTTGGTATTATTGAGTTTATCTTGTTGAGACGGTCAATTTGAATTTAAATTTATTGAAATTGAGGCCCTAGGTGATCTCTAATTTGAATTTGGAATATCTTTTAGTCATATGATGCCTTGAGATTCGTGTCAAATGATAATGTTAATTAATGATGCATCAGTTGCCCCTATTTTCAGGCAATGTTTTTAGTTTCCTTCAAAAATAAATATTTAGGAACTTTGTACTTTGAGGCATTTTGATTTGTCATGTATACAATGTAAAGTTTGGATCATTTTATCACAGTTGGTGAGGGCTAAGCAGCTGTGGTTTGAGGATGATTGTGAGTGTCAGACAACGTTACTTTCATGATAGTAGAGATGATGGTAGAGACCATGAGAAAGTTCTAAGTGTTTGGGGGAGAAATTATGCAAGCAAGCTCACACATGTGAGTTTATACAAGCAAATGAGTACAATTATGCATTAATAATGCAATGGGTCCCACGAGCGGTGAAGTAATGTTGTGTATGGGATGAGCTTGGTGCGCATGTGGGTGCCAGTTAAAGGGTGTGGGTGCACGGACGTGCTTGCAAGAGAGCCACGATTGATGCAGGCAACAAGCAGCGACACGACAAGCAGGCAACAAGTCGGCGGGCGATACTGCAGTGAGTTGTGCGGTGGCATGGTGACGTTGCGCCATGGTCGGCGACGGTGTGCATGTGATTTGCAATGGTCGCACAATCATTGTGGGACGGGCCAAAACTAGCATTGACAGGCATCACTAGAGGCAATGTGAGTCGGGTGTGGAAGAAACAAGCATTGGCGGGTGGCTGCACGGGTCGCAGAGGGTTGGGTCAAGCCAAATGGTTCATAGAACAGCTCGCGGTCTGTTTTAAAAAGCGAACCTTTAAAAACTCTAAAATTTTGAATTTTTGGCACCCAAAATTTATTTTTTTGCTTATAAACAGATGTAAAATGAGGTCTGGAGGAGCAATTATGCAAGCAAGGGTACACATGTGAGTTCATACAATCAAATGAGTACAATTATACGTTAATAATGCAATGGGTCCCACAAGCAATTCGTATGGGAGAATAGCTCGCGTTCTGTTTTATAAAGCGAACCTTTAAAAATTCTAAAATTTTGAATTTTTGGCACCCAAAACAAAGCCTTGGGGCATTGGGTGGGCGATCGTGTGGGCTCACTAGAAGTCTTTGTAAAACGTGCGGGCACGACTATGAAAAATAGAAATTTGGTGGGCTCAACCCGATCCGAGCCCACTTTTACTTTGTCAAAACCAGAATCAGTCTAGCCTGCCTAATCTCCAAAAAAAGCATTATTTATTTTTGGGGCATTTAAATGCATATCACAAAATTCTTATATATTTACATATCCAACACCTAAACTTTCATATTTACATATATAACACTCAAATTTTTTTTGTCACATAAGAAATACTATTTTTACTTATTTTCTTAAAACAAAATACACATTTTCATGCATATGCTCGTGACATCCAAATATAAATGTGAATATCACAATTTAGGTCTTTGTTATAGAAAAATTGTGGTATATATGTAAAATTTTCTTAAGAAAAATTATGGGGAAAAAATATAATTTGACCAAATTTTATGTAAAAAAATATAAGCTAAATCATTTCAAATAATTTATACAGTTGAAAAAAACCATAAATGATGATACAACATCTCAGTTATGGCTTTCTATTTTTTGTTCCATATAACAAATTCATCAAATTATTCATTATTCAGACACAAATCACACAAATTAAGGAGGACAAAGGAAGTTAATCCTCAACATTTATAATTAAATACTAATATAATCCTAATTAATTTATATAATTAGGTGCTTTCACCCATTGCTAATAAAGTGCTTAGGTTCATCGGGTTCATGTACTCGCTTGAACCAGTCATGAATTGGCCAACTATGATCCGGCTCGCCTTTGCAGACGGATGAAATGGGTCCCAAAAAGCATATAAATCCCGATTCGGACATAGATTTGGTGCCACCGTGCACAAACCCAAGCCATTGTAGGGTCCTTGCCCACAACAAGCTCTCTTTGAAGTAATAAAACCTAAAAATTACAAAAATAAACCATTACTATTTGCATAAACATTTGATTTTATATATATTTAAAAGCAAATTTACACATTCGTATCACATAATTCTTATATTTAGAGATCTAACATGTAAATTTTTATATTTACATTAATAATGTTTTGGTGCCATCTTTCAAAAAAACTAGTAATAGTGTATTTATATATGTAAATATTCCATAATTTTCTTATTAAACAATTACCAGAAGCTTGGGGGTTGGAAATGAAATCGGAATGCAATTTGGCGGTGTTGGCGGCAATGAAGATGTTGGAGTGGTACTGCGAATTGAGCTGATTTATGGTTTTCTCCAGCTGAGGGTTGTATAGTTCGGAGGCTCTCTGCAGCTTCGGGTCGCATGCGCCGTTTCTGCTTCTCTGTGCCAGCTCAGCCGGCACGCAACCCAGTGGGCCCGTCCTAGTCACTAGAACACGTCGCCCTCCGAGCTCATAAATCCTCTGCATTTCCATTATCACCCAAAAATAAAAATATATTTATATGCTTATTATCCAAATATTGTAATCTAATATAACCAGGAGATAGAAAATAATCTTTAAATAAATATGGGAAATTTATATATCTAACAATTCCTCTACACATGCAGCATTTTTCACTATCATTTGGGTAAAATGCGTTTTGACAGTTTATTCAAAAAACTATATTTAAAACCGCTGAAAATAACGTTTTTACACCGTTCCTGACTAGGTACGGTAACAGTTTTCATCAGATTATTTTTCGACAACTTATCAATGTTTTTACACCATCCCAAACAGACCCGCACCAAAACTTATAGGTGCGTTTTCTAAACAATTATAACCTATGAGTGCGTTTTCAATACCCACAACACCAAATAAGCTGCCTCAAATGGGTCCTTACATCTTCAACACGACATGCAAATTACCAATTTCTCCGCTTCTTTTATGCTTAGATTTATAGCACCAATAGGTTATAAATCTAAATATCAAATATTAAGTACTAGCACTGAAGTTAGAGTTACGTTTTGGATCTGAGGTGTTGAAACTAGTAATGATTTAGGATTTTGAAGAGGATTTAAAGTTTTAATTGTTTAAATTTTGAAAAGGGTTTTAAGTTTTAATTGTTTAAGTTTTGAAAAGTTTTGAAAAGGATTTGAAGTTTTTTTTTTTTTAAATAATTTGAAGTTTTATGAAGGCTTTAAAGTTTTGATTGCTTAGATTTTAAAAAGGGTTCAAAGTTTTAGAAATGTTTTGAAATTTTGAGATTTTAGGATTTTAAAAAGAGTTTGAACTTTTTATTGTTTGATTTAGTATTCATAGAAGGTTTGGATTGAGAAAGTCTGATTTGGGAAAGGTTAATTTGAAGATCTAAAATCCTATACTAAAGGGATAGGATAGGCTAGAAAGATTTCTAGATGAAAGTAAAATCCTAATCCTAACATAAACTTAAACTCTATAGGAAGGCTGAATAGGTATATTAACCCAATTTTGTGGCATAACACCTCCGATCAAGATGCTCATGGCTTTCCCTCCTCCCAGGTTCATTGGTATCCTTATTAAGCAAATAGATAGTTAGAGGTCTCTACTTAATGTCATATCAATGGTGAGTGTGGATCTTCTTACTATTAGGTTGTTTGAGGTGTGTTTGGCAGTAATTATGGTTTACTTCATCCTAAGGTGCCTACAAAGTCTAAGAGGTAAGATTGTTTGTTTTAAAGGTCCTAGTTCTTAGCACAGAGTACCTAACAAACTAAGATTGGTTTCTAGACTGGACTATTCTAGGGTATGTGTAATCCTGAATTTTTTTTAAGTTATTTAACCTAAGGTTCATTGTTGATATGCCTAATGGTGGTTTCCATTATTTAAGTAGTGAGATTTTAAATTTATTTTGAGATTGATATTTAATTTAGCTTGTAGTTTGTTGGTTCATGTAAAAATCGTGGTACTCTAAATTTGAAGAGTTGCCTTCAGTTTTATATTCTGTGTTGAAGCTTACGTGCCACAAGGGTCCCAAATATGTCTGTGTCATTCAATGTTTATAATTTTTCGACTTAAATTTTATGTACCAGCTTAATATTTTAGAATTTTATTTTCATATGGATGTTAGTTTTGATAAATGTAGGCTTTGAATATTTTTATCACACAAAAATATCATTCAAGCATGTAAATTAATTAAGAAGTATGTAATTACAAAATTCTTTAAAACTTATATATTTAGGAGTGAAGCTTTATAAATCACAAGTTCATGAATGACAACATGTTCATTTACTGGTTATACATGTAAACATGTATAAATCTTATATAAGCTAGCTATTTAGGAGGATAATTTGCAAGTTTACATAGTATAGTATGGAGACCAATATATTTAGCGACCTTATAAGAGGTTTTGAAACAAGAGAAAAGTTTGCTTTGATTTGAAAGAGATTTGCTTAGGTGTGATAATATTTTCATTTATTTTTTTATAAAATTTTGTTTGTTAGAAAAAAAGTTATTGGGATTAGTTTAGTTTAAAAGTGGGCCCTACTTTCTTCTTTTTTTTTTGTAAAAGTTCACTTTAGATTTTATTTAGATTGAGAAGTGTTTAATTCGGTTTTCTTTTGAAAATAAGTTGTTTACTTTTGAAAAAAAATTTATTTAAGTTTTATTTTGAAAAAGTTTTGCTTTTGTTTTTAGAAAAAGTTTTATTTTGAAAGGGTTTTTAATTTTTTTAAATTTTGTTTTGAAAAAATAATAATTTTCATTAAAGCACAATATCTCAAAATAGGTATAAAAATGTATGTAAAAACACTATATATTTTAGTTGTATCAATATGTCAACATCTTAAGACAAATTCCCCACCAAATATATATAGTCTATGTAAATTATTCTTTTACATATGTAGTTATTTTATATATTTGAACATGAATCACATGTTTATTAAAATAATTAATTATGAAAACCAATGAAGCTTAAGAAATAATAGGTTATAAGGAACATGTTAATGATATATTTATATGTCTATGTAGGTAGGGCTAAAAGGGTCCCTAATGGAATAAAGTGGTCTCTTATATAGGTAAAAGAATCCTCAAGATAGTTTAATAACAATAATGTTTTGTTTCACCTAAGCATTATTAAACCTAATTATGTTCCCTTCAGGAAAAGTTATAATGGCTAAAAATTTAGATTACTGTACATGAGACATTCTGAAGCTAAAATGAAATCTAATACTACGTGAAATGATTAAAAACAAAAGAATGATTATTGCATTTAAGTTACTTGTACTTATTATTTTATATCATCTCTATTAATAATTAATAAACAAGTTATTTAATAACTATCAGTATTTGAGATTTGTGTTAGATTTGCTTATCTTTCTAAGCTAATAGCTTATTCATAATTATTCTTATAAGAAAGGGGAAAGAGAAGTTTGAGTTTGAGTGGGATCATGCTCATTTTATGATTTTATTTTGTTGTATAATTATTAAAAAATAAAGAACTTTCGAGGTAACTTTCAATATAAATTTTATGCTTTCTGTTAAGGGTTTTAGCTGCTTCATATATTTATTTTAAGGATATAATTTGATTACTTCGATTAAGAAATATTTGAGTATAATAAAAAAATATCATAATATATTGTTGCAGGTGAAGTTAGGAGATTGAGTATATCCTTAATATATTTCAGTGAGTTCCTATGGAAATTGGCATTTGAGGTGTATTTAGTCAGCTAAATGTCACCTACATCATGTGTTCACTAGTAGAGGGGGTCATCATTAGGCATGAAAAAATTAACTAAATCAGTCCTTAGTTTCTCAAATTGACACCATTAAGAGTTTCTTCTACCTCCCTAAGACATTCCTAAACTTGGTTTGACTTAGACTCTGAGTTGGAGATGCTCCCCTTATATCAGCCAGAAACAAAGTGGTCTTCACCACCTCTCTCTACTGTCTTAGTTCTCCAAAGGGAATGATGGTCATTACCTAACTCGATTATGTTGGGCATGGTCGTACAATGGCCTATTTTAAGGGATTAATTCATTGGAATTCTTTCAAGTCTTTGTAAACTCTACATTTCTCAAAGCTTAATCAAATTTCTAAGGTTCTTCCTTTTTTTTGAAAGCTTCTAAGCTAAAGAATTATCAAACACTAGCGAGCAATGATAATGTCCTTGTGTCCATGGCCTTCAATGAAGAGGCGAGCGAGGAGTTGATCAACAATGCTTTATTTCTTTCAAACAAAGTTTATATGTTTTGATGAGCCATGAGATTTTAACTTTAATGAGGTACTCTCTTAAAACCATAGAAAGAGATCTTGGATACCATCGAACTTTGCTAAGCACTTTTTAAAGTCCTTTCAAAACCATTGAAACCCTTTGAGTTAAATTTTATCTTGACCCTACTAGAGCTAAATGATTCTATATGATTCAAATCTAATTAAAACAAATCAAGATTGAATCAAATTTACATAAGCCCCCTTTTAGCTGGCAACCTCATGACAATTGGAACCCAACTTTGTTAAGTTGTGTTTTGACCCAAACATTAATCAAATGGGACCACAAGAGCCACCTTAAAAAAAAATTAAATTTAAACTAAATCTATTGAATATAAGCATAGGTAAATATCTTAAATATCCACATATACAAAACCCATGTTGCTTTAGTTAGTCGAAGCACACCCAAATTGGGTTTCTTGGGCCACATAGGACCAATTGACCAAATCAATCCCTACTTTCTCAAATTGTCACCATTACTAGCTTCCCTAACTCCATAGAGCCTATCTAGTCTTGGTTTGCATGGATCCAAACCTATAGTTGCTCCCCTTACCCATTCAAAAAGCAAGGTGGCCCTCACCACCTCTCACTATTGTCCTAGTGCACTCAAGCCTTTGAAGGCATCTTAACTTGATCAAAACCTTCATCTTAACTTTCAAAGGGCATGATGGTCATTTCCCAACTCAATTTAGTTTGGTATCTTCATATAAGGGCCTATTTTGAAAAAATGCATTCATTAAAAATTCTCTCAAGTTATTACACAGCCCACGTTCCCTAAAACTCAAGTAACTTTCACAAGCCTTTCTCCCTTATAGAGCTCTTTGAACTAAAGAAGTATTAAAGTTTAGTGAGTAGGGGTGATGTTCTTACATCTCAAGCATTCAATGTAGAGCTGACACACCTAAAAATTACCTACTTTTTATATAAATTTAATTCGTATTTTTATTGATATTACACTTTAAAGAAAGTTATTTTGCATGTTTTTGGTTTCAGGTACAAGAAATTGACTTTTGAAGAAAATAAAGCAAAAATAGTGCAATTTGGAGCCAAATCGAGGAAGGAAGAAAATTCTGATATGGAGCAATTTGATATGTATTTCTATGTTTAATCTCTTTTACATTTATCACATTTTTTTGAATGAAGTTACACTTTAAAAAATGATTATTTTCATGTTTGTCTTGTAGGTATAACACTTGGAGCTGGCTAGAGCTGAAACAGAGCAAAACAAAGTGAAATAGAGGTGTTGTCAACAGGGTGGCTCCTAGGCGCCAGTCTCGTCCAAAAACTGATGCCTAGGCGCAAAAAACTGTTCAGGGGCAATTTTTTACTATTCTTGGCTATTTTGGGTTGTTCTGGAAGATTTCGAGCAGTTGTGCACGCCCCAAAGAGTTATATAATGAATCTAGACATTTGGAATGTGAAGATGTGTGTCTCTTGGAGTAAAGAGGTGTGTCTCTTGGAGTGAAGATGTGTGTCTCTTGTAAAAAAATGAGATGTTTAGTTTCTCTTTAGAAGGGGGGGCTGGTGCTCTCATGAATGATGATTAGAAGGAGTTTTTAGAGAGTCTTAGAGAGAGTTTGAGCGTACCTCTTCTAAAAGGTGTATGTGTGTGAGGAGATGTAGAATTCTACCTTTCCTGGAGAGATTAGTGAGGGATTTTGAGGATATGAGTATGGAAGTGTATGAGTGGCACATGGATCGGCTGAAGACTTTGTTGGAGAGATTTTCATCTTTTCTTTAGAAGGAAAAAACTAAGTATTGTGTTCTTCATTATCTTATAATTGTTGTAAACACTTTTCTAGTGAATTTATTTTGTTTTAATGAAGTTTTCTATTGTGTTTTATCCACGCTTTGTGAATAGTTTTCTTTACTCTTTTCTTTTAATATGAAGTAATGTCATGTGTAAGTAAATTTGTTTTATGATAGAATAAATTTTTTTTTTATGTGATGAGTAATATCTTCTTTGCTTCATTGGCACAACTTAAGTGGCAACAAATTATGTCAAAATCTGTCGTAAGTAGAACTAAAACTCAGGAGAGCAGTGATCTCACAACTTGAGTGTACTCACATTGACCAGTTGGCTATGGTAAAATAGTTTAGGCGGTAATGCAACTTCTAAGGAAATATAATTTAATGATCTGTTTCTATTAGGAGATTTTAGGTGAAATTTATTTGCATAAAATTAATAGAATATTAAACGTATCTATACACTCGAAAGTGGGTAGGTATACATATGTTTCTTGTTGGCACATAATCATATCAATTCTTTTACTACTTATGTGACCATCTTCATTTAACTTATCTTTTACAATGAAATTGATGCATGTTTAGGAATTTAGATTTGCTTAGATCTACTCTTATTTCATTAATGTGATGGTATCTTCATTAGTTCTTAATATATTTTGCAAACTAATCACTTACAATGTTAAAATTTATTGCGAAACATAATGACCTGGAAGGGTTGTGATTCACTAACTAGTGAGTACCACACAAAAGCTTGGATTGAGGGCATGCCACGTCCAATGTGGAGTGCAAATAAATAGAGAGATAAGTTTTGATGAACGTACAATTGGTGTTTCTAGGGTGACAGACTAGATCCTTTACCACTAGATCCTTTACCAATTTTGGTCTACAGTTGGAACTTGAGTCCCTGGTAGGTTCTATAGAGCCTGCTGTCGTCAAGCGAACAATAAAGTTAATCGATGTTTATCCCATTTCTTTCCACTATGCTCCGCCAAAGAGGACAGTGTCCTGAAGAGATGTGAGTACTAAAAAAAGAAAACAACAAAAGATATAGAAATTAAAGACCATTTTGTTGCAACTCAACGGGAGGGTGAAAACTCCTCCACAACTCGCTTTTGAGGTCAAGGTCGGCGGCAAGGATGAGGGAGAGGAAATCTGATCGTTGAAAGAGAATAAAATGGTAGAGGCCATCATATCCTGAAAGGAGAATTTTCATGCCCATCACTCTGATCACTTCAAACTAGATTTAATAGTATAACACAATAAAACTTCCACTGTTAGCAATAGTTAAAATATCATCGTGGGATTGATATATAGACTTTTTATTTGTATATTATTTGATCGACATGTATACTTACATAATTGAACTTTTGCTTCACAAAAATTTTGGGCATCACATAACAATTGTTAATTATGTAAACTGAAGAAAATAAGGTAAATTACACAGAAACTTTTGAAATTTATAAACAAATTTAAATATAAATCTTACAAATAAATAAATGGATTAAGAAATTTTACAATTAAAGATAAATCTATGAGAATTAAAGGACCTCATTTTTATGTGATAATTTTAAAAAAAAATTATGAAAAGTAAATAAATAAAATTAAACTGACCCCGAAATTTATAGGGAGATTCTTGAGATCCTTACCGACCATGGGAATTTCTTATAAAGAATTTAAAATTTTGATTAATGATTTGAATTTCTCATTAATTATTCAATTTAATTTTTAAGGGTAATTAAAATTAATTAAAATAAAAATTGAAAATAATTTATCACTTAATATTAAAATTAACTAATTAAATCACATAAATTAGATATCATTCAAATAATTCAATAAATTTTATGAATGCACATGGTAACTCTCCAAACCTTTCAAGTTTCCATAATTTCTTAATTTAATTTATAGATTAAATAAATTTCAAATTATAAAAATGTTATAAAATTTATAAAATGTTCATATTAAATCCATTGAATCTCAAAATTATATGAACATCCTAAGAGGTTATTCCTAGAATCTATGATAATTTTCACAATTTTGCTATTAATTAAATTTTAAATCAATTTTATAAAAATTAAATAATTATTTTTTTAAAAAAATTTTTGTTTTATTTAAAATAATCCCAAGCTTTTCTGTGAGTGTTCTCTAGTCATCCTTGAACTGAGAGGATATTTTCATATTTTTAAAAAGCCAATTATTATTACTTTAAATTATTTTTAGAAGCCAACTAAAAATTAGTTTGACTTAATCTCGTACTTGCATGAATAGCCCCTAAAATCTTCTCTGATCATTGAGTTTGATTAAGCTTCCATTCATTAATTAATTATAGCTCTCAACCCCATCATACCCAAAGAATTAAACGAATTGTTTGTTTACTCATCTTAGTTGTCACATGATGGGTTATAATCTCTAATAAATAGTCTAGTAATGAGACATCAATAAAGCCCATCATCATATTAATTATGTGGCTCTTTAACATAGTCTTAATTTGCACTTAAATTAACATATTGCACGCAACCACAAGCTTTATGTTTGTAAGCATATTTTAGTTGTGATCACATTTTGTAATTGAATTATACTTTGGCACTATTGACACACAAAAGAGAGAATGACTTTGAGTTAATATAGAAATAGCATTGCAAAAAAAATTAGGAACATACTTTGTGACTATTTATATCAAGAGAATTGATGTCATAGATATTATCGATCAATTTAAGGCCCGTTTGTAACAGTTTATAAGTGCGGGCGGTGTTTTCAAAAAGCTCGAGCGTTTCACCAGCTTATCTGAAACCGTGTTTGAGTTTTTACACTAAATATAAGTCGCGGGCCGAACCCCGCAGCTCGCCCGCAGATGCACCATTAATAAAGCACTACTAACATTAAACTAAATTAATTATTATTTATTATATTAGGAGAAGTAATATTATGGATTGCGGTAAATTTAACTGATTCATATTTATCTTTATATTTGAGTATATAATTTCTATGAGATTTTAAAGATAGTGCTTCTTAAAAACAACAATCTTTTCTAATATTTCCTCCCGCCGGCAGCCAAACAGCCAGAACCAAAACCCTAGAGAAAGCCACCGGCTGCCGGCGATGTCGCCGGTCGATCCTCACTCTTTCACCGACTCCTCCCAACCCTTCTGTACCAACATCGCTCTCGCTCTATACCTCGATTTCTCCTCCACCACCATACTGGGTTCTGTCCTCATCTTGCTTCCTAAGTGCCATTCCGGAAGCCTCACCCTAGACTCCCGTGACATCTCCGTTTCCCGCGTTATCGATCCTGTTTCCCTCTCCCCCTTGCCCTTCTCCATCTCATCCACCGATCCCATCAAGGGTTCCTCTCTCACCATCACCCTTTCACGTCATTCCTCCGTCTTCATAGCCTTCTCCACCTCTCCTTCCTCCTCTGCTCTCCAATGGCTTTCCCCCGGGCAGACCTCGTCCGGATCCCATCCTTTCGTCTACACTCAATGTCAACCCATTCATGCCAGGTCCGTTTTCCCATGCCAAGACACCCCCGCCGCTCGCATTTGCTATGCCGCCCGTATCAACCTTCCCCTTCCCCTTTGCGCCGTGATGTCTGCCACTAAGGTTGCACGTAGTAAGCCCGTCATCGGAGAAGGGTTTCCCGGCATACCCGACTCCCTCTGGTGCAGCGAGGATCGCATCGTCGAGCACTTCTCCATGGAACAGCCGATTCCGCCATACCTTTTTGCTTTGGCTGCTGGTGAGATATCGGAGCAGGCTTTGGGACCTAGGACGACGGTTTATGCTGCGGGCGGGTCCGAGTTGCTGGATGCTGCGGCGAGGGAGTTTCGTGGGATTGAGGATATAGTGAGAGCTGCGGAGGCATTGTTTGGGCCGTATGAGTGGGAGAGGTTTGATCTGCTATTGTTGCCTCCCAGCTTTCCGTATGGGGGTATGGAGAATCCTAGGATGGTATTTCTGACTCCGTTGGTGATCAAGGGCGATGATACCGGGGCGCAGGTGGTGGCACATGAGCTCGCGCATAGCTGGACGGGTAATCTGATAACAAATAAGACCAACGAGGATTTCTGGCTTAATGAGGTGAGTTTTTCTTACCTTTTTCTTGGACGGTTATTGTCTTTTTTTTACCTTAATTTAATTGACAGTCCTGTTGATTGATTAGTTTAGCTGGAATTTCTTTTAAGGCTAATTTTTTTTTAAAAGATTTTTGAGTTTCTGAAGTGAAATTCGGCGGTGTGAATCTTAATGATTTCTCCTTTGTTTTGTTTAAACAACTTCAATTTTAATGCCTGTTTGAGTAACAATAATTCTCACAGGACTTGGGCTAAATTAATAGTTATAATACATAATTAATATTTTATTATTTAATGAATAAAATAATTTATATTTTATAATTGATGCATACACAAATAACTTGATCTTTTATTTTTTTATCAATTAAGTAAAAATGATTTTAAATTATTCTATTAATAACTTAGTTAATTCTTAATTAGGCTATATGTTACTTAAATCATTTCACGACTGTTTTAATTGATTTTATAGGGAGATTTAACTCTCGATGCTCCATAATAACAAAAATTCGAGTAGTACTTCTATTGTTTATTTCTCTTTTTGGGAAATATTTTTAAAATTTTGTTTGGGATCAGAACATCTCATACTTTTTAATGCAGAGTATACAACCTCTGGCATTGATTCTAATAAAGTTCATGCAAAATTTGAACAAGATTCAAACCATGTTTCAGCTAACTTCAAGTATGGTTTGAACTTGAATCAAACAAAATTTGAGCAAAATTTGAATATTGATCAATGTAAAATCGAATATAAATTATAATATAACATTATAATGTTGATATAGCAGAGTGGGTACAATTACAATTGTAGATTATAAGAGAGATAATAAAAGAGTCGATACATAATACGATTCAAGAGCTTTACATAATATTTATAACACAACATGGGTAAATTTACACGCAATGTAATTGAATTAATGAAAGAATGAAGAAATGCACATAAATAATTACTATTAACTAGGGACATCATGTGCTATATCATATAAACTTCGCAGTTGTCAGTGTAAATAAGATGTAAAACAGTCATCATTACCACTACTTAAATTGCTTAACTTTTCTTAAAATTTATCTTACTGTAAACATAAACCTAGGGATTTCATTTGTGGGCTGCTTGCAGTTAATTTTCAATTATTGTTTGTTATCTGCTCTACTTTTACTATAGTTTACTGTAAATAATTACAGTCTTATTACTATCCAACATCCACTTTGTCTCTGACCTGGATTTCTTTTTCCATGATCATAGATATTTCCTATGTACGAAGCTGAACAGAGTTGATTCATTTTCAGAATATTGGTAATAAAAAAAGTTTCTATAATTTTTTTTTTGTCGTTTTTATTCTATCTATCATCTTCCACTGCATCACCTTTCTTCACATTGAAGAACATTTAAACGAGAAAAAAAAAATTTATCTATTTTCAAATAATCATGATTGCTTAAGAAACCTCGGGAGGCATTTCTTAGAATGAATTAATCATTTCCTGCAAGGTATATGTTGATGTGCAACAGATATCAAAATCATGTAATATTATAGATATCATAGGAACTGAGATCTAATATATAACCCAATAAACTTTACTTTTGCTCATTAGAAAATATGATTTCTGCATCAACTAATGACTTTAGGAACTTCTTTTCTTTAATGAAATTCATGAATGCTTGTTTGGGCTAGTTGAATTGATTTTTCCTCCATAGCATTAGATACGCAGAGATTGTTGCCTATAATACTAATTAAATGGTTTAGAAGGAGGTAAAATTTAATTATACTGTTTTAATTAAATTGATTAGTGGCTCTTTTGTCTGTTAATAGCAAATTATAGAAAATGAATATCGAAATTTAGTTCACATCATTCAACTGTGTATTTCCGTCTTGATTAATTCCAAGCCCCGAGATGGGTCGTAACACCAAGTGGGGTTGGTTATACGAATATTTTTTCTCCATTGTGTTCTATTGAGTGTCATGTTTTCATTTACTTTTAATAAATAAAGATATTTTGTTATATAATATGCCCAAGTATTTTTAGGTTTATTTTTACCTTTCTTAACATAAGTCGAATCCAAAACATCTACTCTCCGAACCAGATCATTAGACGGTCAACGTTAATGCGACCAAACTATCTAACACAGCTCTCTCTAATCTTGTCTGCCACTAGAGCTACACCAACTTTTCATTGATACATTTGTTTCACATTTTGTCTCTAAGTGTTAAGTCACTCATCCACCTAAACATTCTCATCTCAGCAACATAACTAAGTTTTATGATTCTCTTTTACTGTCCTACCATTTGCACCTTAAACTATTGCAGGTCTCACCACTATCTCATCAAATTTTTCTTTTAAGTCTAATTGATACTTTTCTATTACACAATAGGCCCAATGCATTCCTCTACTTCAACCAACCAGCGTGAATTCTACCAATAAAATTCCCATCTATATCACCTTCACTTTGAACAATAGACTCGAGATATCTAAATTGCTCACATCTTTGAATGATTTGATCGCCTATAGTTGCAAACTCTGCCACTAGATCTACTACCACTAAAATTACATTTTATGTATTCAATTTTAGATCTACTCAAATGAAGACCTTTAGACTCGAATGTAGAACTCCATAATTCAAGTTTTCCTTAACTTTTTCCTCAGTCTTATCTATAAGAAGGATATCATTAGCGAAACCCATACACCAAGGCACATCTCCTATAAATGTCCAATAAAAGCATTCATAACTAAAGCTAAAAGATATGGGCTTAAAGCTGAACCCTGATGTAATCCAACTGTAATAGGAAAAATACTTGGTCAACCCTCATTTTGTTCAAACACAAGTAAATACTCTTGTACACATATTTAATGACTTGAATATGTTTATATCAACATTTTTCTTTTCTAAAACTTTCCAAAGAACTTCGCTTGGAACCTTATCGTAAGCTTTTTCTAAATCAATACAAATCATATGTAGATCCTCCTTACTCTCTCTTTACTGCTCCATCAAACCTCTCAATAAATGTATAGCTTCCATGGTAAAATTGTCCTGCATAAATTCAAATTATTTATGGGAAATCTTTATATTACGTTTTAATTATGTTCAATTACTTTTTCTCTCTCATAATTTTAATGTATGACACATTGACATAATTCCTTTGTAATTTGCACACTTTTGTGCATCCCCTTTATTCTTAAAAATGGGGACCAAAATACTATTAAATCAACTGCATTGATTTGATGGAACTGACTAGTCGGTTATGTTAATTGTAATTAAATGAGGGAGGTTAGTGGGATTGGTCCCGTGCAAAATAAAGTTAGGTAAACAAATCAAAGAGGGTGATAAGGAGAGATAAAATCACATGCTGAGCTAATGAGACGACAATTTGTGCGAAACAAAAAGGCAAAGGAGATGTGCTAAGCGACGTCGCATATGAGAGTGCTAATCGAGTGGTTGGTGTGGCATGCACGATAACTGGCATCATGAACTGCAGGATCAATGACTTTGTGTGCGATTAAAGTAACGAGTAGTGGTGAGGGTCCTGTGCATCTGAGATTAGGCATCGAAGAAAAGGGAATGATTTGAAGTCGAGCAAGGTAAATTAGGTTAAGATTTTGCTATTATTTTAGAAATAACTATTTTAAAGTTTATTAAGCATTAATGTTGGGTTTCATGAAATAATGTTAAAAATTGAATTTCTAAAGTACATGAATTGGAAGACTGAAGGGAATTGTTGAGTTTGCAAGAAGATAGGAAGTAATTGGGGTAATTCTTTTAATTTTTATGCCATTTGTTTTATATAAATACTTGGTGTTTGAGTAATACATATTTTAGGATCTTGTTTTGTGGACAATATTGTGTTTGGTAGGGTGATCAGAGATAGAAAAATTGAGGTATAATATGATTTAGAAGATTTTGTAAGTTTAAGTGAATAGTAAAAAATTAAATGTGATTGCTTAATAATAATATTTATTTTTATTATTAGATGAGATTAATAGAGGTTAATATTTTGAAATTGTGGAGAAGAGAGTAAAAGTCGTGAAAGGATTTATGGAGTAAAAAATGTATGAATTTTATATTATCAAATCTATTTAATATCTTGAATAATTACATTCTTAAAATACATTCCAAAAAGAATAATTAGATGAATTGAAATATATATAGCTGTAAATGTAAGTTATTTAATTAGAATGTTTCAATTATAAGCTAAACATAATGTTTAAATTATAGATTAAATAAATATCGAAGTAAAGAAGCAAATTAAAGGAAAAGAGAGTTTAACAAATTTTATTAACAAATTATTTTTCAAAGTGAAATTGAAGTGGGTAACCGTCTGGTTGCTTTTTGGTTGCAGTGGTTGTTGCGGTGAGCTTGTCTTTCTTCTTCTCTCTCTCTCCCCTCTGTTTTTCGGCTCCGTTTGGATCATTTGCTCTTCGTTGCTCCAAGGTTTTCTTTACATATTCAGGCATTTTGCTTTTGCGATTATTTGCCGGTCTTTGTGCTTGGTGATGGCTTGGTTTCTCTGTGTTCTATTTTTGAGTGATGGTTTTCGGGTGGCTGTGCCGTGATGTTGATTTTGCAATTTTTGCTGTTGTTCTGTTCTTTATTTGGTGATGGTAGATTTTGCACCATTCATTTACGCGGAAATTATGGTGATTTTACTGTAAGGGTAATATGATTTTGTGGACACATGAAAATTATGGTATTGTTGATGATACCGAAATATGGAGCTATGTTTGCTATTTGATGATGCCAAAATATGGTGCCCTGGTTGTTAGTGTGGTAATTTGTGGTGTTTTTTGGGAATATGCTTTTGGTGGTGTTTGGTGTGTCATGCTATTGGTGTGCTATGATTTTGGTGATGTTTGGTTTGGTGTGAAATGATGGTTTTGATTATGTGGTGGTAGCGTAGTGTGGTGTGCTATTGATGTTGGTAGTAGGTGGTGGCATGTGTTGTGGTGTTGGCGTTGGTGGTAGGTGGTGTGAATGGTGTGGTATGCTATTGATGTTGGTGGTAGGTTGTGTTGTGCGGT